GATGCGTAACAAATTCGTGCGTGGGGTGAAGGAAGGGTTGCTCCTTTAGAACGTTTAAAATATGCATTTTATCATTCAGTTTCAAGACATTTATTAATAGGAAAATAATACTGGAAATCCGTTCCCAGTGAGTCGAATAAATGAATTATATGTAATTCTTAGGATGAAAATACTCTTGTAAACTTGTAATTGCTAGAAAATGAAATGTCATTTTAAAAATCAAACTTGTCAAAATGTAATTTCAACCATTACTTAAATATAAATTATAATAAAACTGTAACGGATGAAAAGAATCATTTGAGGTTTTAAGAGGCCCCTTCAGACTGTGAGGCTCTAATCTGTAGCGTGTTTAGCTTAATTATGCCTAAATATGGTCCTGGTCAATTCACAAGTCTATACAGATATCTCCACTCTGCGCATGATGCGCCTTGATTAAAAATTCCCCCGTGTAAATTATCTTGGCGAAAGAATCTGAGGCGAATATAGTTTCACCACGTATATAGTGCACATGTTCGAACGCACCCAATGAATCTCCAAACATTCTACGCTCGCTAGCACAGTGTGGACCCTGGTGCGCAGCCCCGTGTAGCCTGTCGCCATAGCAACACCTGCGGCTAAGCATACTTGATTAGTATTGTACGTGCGAGTCCGACCGGCTCGACTGGTTTTCGATCGGGTTTCGAGGTGAAGTATTGTAAAACAGAAGATGAGGACGAGGAGGAGACAGATAAGATGCCAGTGGCGGCGCAAACTCGTTTTTCTGAGCGGCTCTGATTGACGGAGGAGACTTATTACCGCTGCTGCTGCTGCTCTTACTGCTGCTTGCCGCATGTGTAGTATGTGTACCTATACGCCGGTCAGCCACCCATCGTGGCGCGGGCCGGATGTCATGCTGCTGCCGCTGTTGCTGGTGGTGGTGTTGCTGCCGCCGCCGCTGCTGCTGCTGCTGCTGCTGCTGCTTGCCGCGTGTGTACCTACGCAGGTCAGCCACCCATCGTGGCGCGGGCGGGTTGTGATGCTGCTGCCGCTGTTGCTGGTGGTGGTGTTGTTGTTGTTGTTGTTGTTGTTGCTGTTGCTGTTGCTGTTGTTGTTGTTGTTGTTGTTGTTGTTGTTTCTGCCGCTGGTACTGATTTTTGTTCTGGTATTTGTCGTCGTCGGCGTTGCCGTCGTCGTCGTTGTTGTTCTTGTTGTTGTTCCTACCGCTGCTGCTCATACTATAGTAACTACTGCAGGAAGCAGCGACGTTCACTCGGCTGGTAGGCTGACAGGGTTGCTGCGTGTGGACAGCTGTCAGATAGAGGAGAGAGGCGTATGGGATGGGCGATGCGGTACACCGGGGAGCGGTGGGGAAGACGCGATGAATGTCAAGTATGCTGAGAGGATGTTGCTCTCTCTCTCTCTCTCGATCTGCTGCCTGATTAGTATGAGATACCAAGCTGTAATATCGTTGGTGAGAGTAGAGGCCCTGTATATAGTACTAGTAGGGGTTAGGTAAGAAACAGCAACATCATTAAGCCGTATTTTTCGCGTACAGATATTTTCGCGAGTTCAGACTTGACGGACAATTTTGCGATCGGTGAATTATGAATTATTCGGTATTATTCGGTGTGCATTATTCGCGTGTTGTCATTTTCGCGGTTGGGGACGCGTTCGCGAAATTCGCGAAAATTAAACCACCGCGAAATATACAGCTTATACAGTAACCTGAAAGTACATTATATTCAAATGGACTGAGCCTACTGCATTAAACTTATGTGTTTCGTCGTCTAAAACAATGTCAACAGGCAGCCAATTAAGAACTAAGCTTGTCAAGGAATTTTCCGAATACAGCTGGTTGGAGGTGGGATGAGAGTGCGCGAACCAGTTATGCTAGATTTGTATCATATAACGCGAGATTATGTTGCTAATTTCTGTTCTCGTTGTTGGTAACCCATCGACAAAGCGTTGCTTCCTCATATCCCGCCTACGGTGCGGAGGCTGCAAATAAAGCCGGCGCGCAGTAAGAGACCTGCTGCTATACTACCACCTGCTGCTACTATGATATTACACCACAGCGTGTGTGCACCCAGTCAGGCGAGGTCGTACGAAATCGCACAAACTGGAATGCACTCTATAGTTACCGCTCATTCTGTCTCAGTACGCAAACACGTAGTCTGTCGGGATGGCAATGAAACTACTCGGGTGGAAGATCCGACAGAGGATTTGGACATTGGTACACTTGTCAAATCTCGTAGGAATATGGGAGAATACTCAGAACTCTCACAATGTCACGTATATCTGTGGTCATTTAATAGTTTTTGCCCCTGTGATGATCTCAAAGTATCACAGACATTTGATGACTTTACTGTCACATGTAGTCACCCCGCGGTCACAGGTACACACACACACACACACATCACACACACACACACACACACACACACACACACACACACACACACACACAAACACGCGGGCGCACGCACGCACGCACGCGCGCACACACACGCACGCACGCACGCACGCGCGCGCGTGCACACACATACACCTGTGCTCCCCTCCTCGCACACCTCTATATGTATTGTACAACAGTAGAAGGCGTCCACAGGCAGCAGGCCTGAATAAGCATCGAACAGAAATTAATTGAAAATACTCAGAAAGTTTCATCGCATACACAACACAGACGTTATTCTAGCTAAATAACCACCGATTCAAGCTCTATACTCCGCTCGAAACTTTTGGCAGCTAAGTGCTGCGCATTTCTGACAAGTAGTCTGATCCAGTTTCAAATAAGAAAATGAGGGGCCGGTCACCATGGTTACGCGACGAGACCAATCTCACTGCTCATGCCTTCTAGACGTCCATGGGACGGACACCTAGCTTGCGTGCATTTACTTGCGCACAAATGACTGCATTCTAGTGCCGACTTTTACCGCAAAAAATCAAAATAAGACTTTTTTCAGAGACGGAATAGTGCAATATTGGTGAACAATTGGCAGAAGGCTACTGTTGTATGCCACCTATAGGCGTACGTAACACGGAGACTGATCGGGGCAGCAGTGGTGGCGTCACTTGTCGCCGACTCGCGTTGAGATTCCTTTCCCTTCGTTCGTTCAATGAAGCGACTTAGCAAGGTATGTAACGCGTGTCCATCGATCACTGCGGAAATATAATCTCCTAGCGAAGCGACTTGTGTCACAATGGCGACGTGGTGGCGAGTGCAGAGCCCATAAACTTTTCGACAATTTTTGTCGCTGCCGCTGCTGCTGCCACGAGGAATATTCCTGCATCACGTGCGGGGTTCCCGAGGGTCGACAAGTGGGGTGTCAGGGATGCGCCTTCAAGGGAAAGCGTGATTTGACAAATATTAAACTGGTTTTACCGTCTGACGGGGGTTGAATGCTAATGCATCAGTGCTGATCATCGTTCGTAGGGTTTAGCTCCGCATAATCGTGTCGTTCCCCCTTGTGCGTTTGTGTTCGTGACCTCCTCGTAGTACCAGCTATATACTATTAGTTAGGGATTTTTTATTCTGTGGCATGATCTATTATTACGTAGTGGGGTTAGCACAACGCTGTCTTAGATAGGTTCATCGTTGGCGCTGGCTGTGTTACCTAGCTGATATCCACCTGAAGCCCAGTGCTGTAGTTCAATGCACGACCATCTAATGTAATAATTGATAAATCAAACGAAGTCACTTATTAATAGTCAGATGTAGGTGCCAAACGAAGTGTTCGTGGACCACCGATAAAGAGGGCGTTAAACTACCGACTGAGGTAGCATTCGTCTGGTTCGACATCTCCATCTCCGTGTGCACACAATAGCAGATTACAGCGCTCTGCGCTACAGGCACACCTCTGGGGAAGCTTGTTGATCGTAAATCTTCTGTTTATTACTAGCAGAGACGAGCGCCTCGCGCATTCCGGAATGCAGGCTGCATTCCTGAATGCTCCGGACGTATATGCACACGTGAGCGAATCGATGCGAACGTAGCTGCATCGAGTGCCGCGGGGCGATTCTCTCCCTTTTGCTTCTCGCTGCCCAGATTCCCCCATCATCCTGCGTCACTCGTAAGGTGGTGCGGTGGCCTAATAGCCCAGCATCCTAGCATCCCTTACGCAGCGCCCTTATCATCACATCATCCCTTGCTGCTCAACGTGGCAGCATCTCTCGTGCCCAGCGTGGCTGCATCCCTCGCTCCCATGCAGCGTGGCAGCATCCCTCGCCCCCATGCAGCGTGGCTGCATCCCTCGCGCCCAGCGTGGCTGCATCCCTCGCCCCCATGCAGCGTGGCTGCATCCCTCGCCCCCATGCAGCGTGGCTGCATCCCTCGCCCCCATGCAGCGTGGCTGCATCCCTCGCCCCCATGCAGCGTGGCAGCATCCCTCGCCCCATGCAGCGTGGCAGCATCCCTCGCTCCCATGCAGCGTGGCTGCAT